TAAGACAATGTCAAAAATGGATAAACGCATAGTAGGAGAAATTTTCTTTAAGTTTGGTGGTGGGGAGAAGACATGTTTAACTAAAAGGGTTCATTAAGTGGGCAGCATAATGAATAAACAAAATGCTTTGGAGATATGCAGCCAGCCATCCCCTTACCATCTAATCCACATCACTCCACTCACCCACCATACACCCCCATCAATCCACCCAACAACTCATCCATTCACTCATCTATACATACATACATACATATATACACACATGCAACAAAACATCATGCATTGTTTTAAATATGAGAGACACAACTATTATATAGATGACAACAGAGCTTGTCTCAAGGACTTAGAACAAGAAGGTAAGTGCAAGATGGTTTTAGATTGCTGAATGCTATAGGGAAATGAGGAGTGCTGTGGGCCACAGAAATATGAAGTAGGAATTTGGCTAGCTATGACAAAGTTATACCTTTAAGAAGCCAGGAGCCTTTCCAAAGGATAAAGCCAAGGCTTAAGGAGTCTTGGTGATATTGGCTTTTGAATATTAGCCATTTCCTGCTATGAATTTCTTATGTGCTATTGCAGCTTTTCCATTCCTAAAAACAGTATGTTTGATCATTCATTGGACGCAATTTCTCCTATACAATTAAAGTATTTGTATAACTTTCTCCAACTGTGCTAACAACAGACACAGTCAAGATTCCTAATTTCAGGCCTTTCTGTAATTATTGTCATTAGCAACTTCTGGCCAGGACCTTCTCTGGATGAAAGTATCTTATCTGAGATACCTCCTAGACTTTCTAAGAACAGACTTAAGCATCTAAGAACAGACTTAAGTTTGAGAAGGCCTGGCAGATGTGCTAATTAAGCTTAATCTTTCCCTTTCCAAATCTTATTTCTAGTTTTAGATCTACCCTTAACAATTAACTCAGAACTAAAGAGTTTCTACTTACAGGTACATCAAGCTGGGACACAGGTTACCTAGCTACACTTCCCCCGCCCTGCCAGAAAATGGCAGCAGAGATAGCTTGGACAGATAAGGGGTCAAAGGGAAAAAGAAGGTAGTTTTATTTTCACCCATGACTTAGTGACTTATAGATTCTTAACATTTTAACTAACCACTTCTAAGAATATAGTTTGAGCACATAAAATCCCCTTTGCTTAGATATTAACCAAATTTAGCCCTTAGTTGATTCATTTCCCCATTAGTCACTTCCCTTTTGGGTTGTAGATGATGGCTGACAATTATTGCTCTTTTGTGTGGATCTTATTGCCCCTCCTTTTGACCTTGAGGAAATTCAAGCCTGGTGACCTTTCCTTAGCCAGAGCATTGCTACTGAATGAGTATAAACTGTAAATCTCAGAGACTTGAGGAGAACTAGATTGGAGGAGAACTATAAGAGGAAACTAGAAGAATGAGATGGAAGATGAGGAAGAGCCAGGTGGGGAAGAACAAGATGAGAAAGGAGATGGGAGAGGAGCTGAGATGGGAAAGAATTAGATGGATGAAAACCTAGATGGGGCAGAACTAAGATGAGAGAATTAAGATAGCACTTAGAGGGAACAGCAGAAAAATGTAGAGAGAAATCAGGCAAGAAAGGAGCTAGGCATGAACAGAATAGAAGCTGTGTAGAGAGAGAAATGACTCAGAAGAACAAAGTGAACGGACTAAAGAGTTTCATGTACATAGATTTATTCGAGTATCTCTCAGATTAATCAATCCGACACTGGTTGCATCTCTTCTGGAACTCTGGGAGAAGACTATCAAGGGACTGGACCCCAATAGTCTTTGACAGAGGAGGAATCATGTGACCAAAGTGAAGAGAGAGACGTCTTGGTGAGGAGGTGACATGGCCAAAAACTAAACAAAGAATCAGTTTGGTCTGCATTTCAGCTTTGTCACCTATAAATTCAGGATAATAGTACCTGCCTGACAGTATTGTGAGTTCTCCTAAATTAGTAGGGTATGTAAGAGACACAGAAGAATGCTTGGTATGTTTCAGGGTGAGAGCTTCGTATTTGTACTAACAGTATAGAAATGTCCAAACATATTGGCACATAATAACAAAGCTCAGAAAATCAATTGTCAAATGTGATGTTTTAAGTATAAAACAGTATAAACAAACAAACAAAACAAAGCACATGTTCTTAGTGTTATATATAAATAAATTTTGGAAGGATACATAAAACCAAATGAAAATATTGATCAAGTGTGGTTACACACATCTATAATCCAGTACTTGGGAGGCAGAAGCAGAGAGAGGGTCTCTGTGAATTTGAGGTCAGCCTCATTTACATATGAGTTTCAGGCCAGCCAGGGCTACATAGTGAGGCCTTGTCTCAAGAAGAAAAAGAAGCAGGGATGGTGAGGGGGGAGAAGGAAGAAGAAAGAGAAAGAAAGAAAGAAAGAAAGAAAGAAAGAAAGAAAGAAAGAAAGAAAGAAGGAAGGAAGGAAGGAAGGAAGGAAGGAAGGAAGGAAGGAAACAGAATATAGATTATAAAAAGATAAAGAAGAAACTAAAATTAGGAGGATTAAATGATGAGTGGTATCTTAGGGTTTCTGTTGCTATGAAGAGACACCATGACCATGGCAACTCTTATAAAGGAAAACACTTAATTGGGGCTGGCTTACAGTTCAGAGGTTTAGTTCATTGTCATCATGATGGGAAACATGGTGGCATGCAGGCAGACACTGTGTTTGAAAAGGAGCTGAGAGTTCTACATCTGGATCCACAGGCAGCAAGAAGAGAATGAAACACACCAGGCCTAGCTCAAGCATCTAAAAACCTCAAAGCCCACCCGCAGTGACACACTTCCTCCAACAAAGCCACACTTCTTTCAACAAGGATACACCTCCTAATAGTGCCACTCTCTATGGGCCTATGGGGGCCATTTCCTTTCAAACCACCACAAGGGGGATGGAAGGACAAGCAAAAGAGGAAATATGAGGAGGAGCAACTAACACCAAAGGCCTGTTGAAAAGAACATCAGAAGCTCCGATTGTAGAAGCTTCCTAAAATCTATACATATATGAAAGAATTTAAATGAAATCGCCATATAATGGGGAAGACGATGCCCCAACTAAACACTTTATGCCACCCAATAACACCTCCAGTTAAACAGTTGTACCTTATTGAGTTACTGGCCAAACAAGTCCCATAGACACCCTCCCCCAAACATCACAGGCTCTTGTCAAGGCTATTGGTTGTTCTCCACAATCTGATGGTAAGGCCCTGTTGCTAAAGACACCACTTACTTATGCATTGAACATGGAGAGGTCTAGCTGGTGCCCAACTACTGACTAGCACTCATGGTGCTGGAAGGTACTCTGCATGTTACCAGAGATGAAAAGTGATCATCAATAAACCCTGTGACCTAAAGCAGCAATCTGCCTGCATTGGTGCAGCAGTGACATCAGTGTCATGGGAGGAACCTTTTTAAAGTTGAACTGTAAGGCCCACTCCATGAGAAGGAACCCATTCCCGACACCGCTAAAGTGCCCAAGAACCTGACACTAGATAGGCCATGGGCCTAAGGGAAAACTAACTACTATTGTTCTACTAAAGGAAAATAGCAATAAAATGACTCCAAATGACATACTGCTATACCCATAGATCAGGGTATTGCTCAACCCTCAGCAGAGAAGCTCCTTCTTGCAGTAGATGAGAGCTAACACAGAGACTCACAACTGAACAGTACGCAGAGAGTGAGACTTTGGAGCACTCAGTCCTAAATGAAATGTCTTCCTCAAACACTCCCCTCAAGGCTCATGGAAGAGAAGGGATGGGAAGGCTACGTGGAAGAGGAGGCAGGAAGATTTTAAGATCCAGAAGTTGATGGATTACTCTAAATAAATAGCACCCTTCCAACACAACAGGGATTACACACGTATGAACTCACAGAAACTGTTACAGCAGGCACAAAACAGATAAACTCCCAGCACCGAGAAGAGGAAGTGGACACAAAGGTCCATCCCAAACCAAGAAATTATTTGCAATTGCTACCTCCTGGGAAAAAGAAATCATTTTCCCCCAGGGAAGTCCCACTGGCTATATCAATTGATATATATATCAATATATATATATCAACAAAAAGCCCATGCCCGGTAGTTGGACAACATAAACTGGCTTCCATGGTTTTTATTTTTATGGAGTTTTTGGTTTGTTCTGGCATTTTTGTCTTATGTTTTGTTTGCTATGTTTTTTTTTAAGAAAGAAAGAACATGAAGTTGGGAGAGAAGGGAGGGTGGGGAGGATCTGGGGGGTTGGGGGAGGGGAAACATAGTGGAAATGTATTCTATGAGAAAACAAATGCAATAAAAGAAAAAATACTACATAGCTGCTTTAGTTTGGAGAAGTGAGAAGAAGTGGGTGGCTGGAGGACTCAGGTGAAAGCAAGACTTCATAGTGGATGGTAGTTCATAAATTTGATGGGGTTTTGGTGGGGGTGCAGGTTCCTGTGTGTGCACGCATGTTCAGGTGCTGCTCCTCCTCAGGAACTTTCCATCTGGATTTTTGAAATGGTCTCTCATTAGCCTGGGACCCACCAAGTAGAGAGGACTCGCTGGCCGGTCACAGGCATCAGCTCACATCCACCTCCCCGGCACAGGGACTACAGGTATGTACCACCACATCTGGAGTTTTTACATGGGTTCCAGAGGTCAAACTTAGTTCCTCACACTTTGCTGAGCTACCTCTCCAGCCATTAAGAACAACTCACTTAAAGAAAAAATTTAATTAATGCAATAAGTATCCCCTCATCTTCTCTAATTAAAATGCCATGGAGGTCACTCCTTGGGATCAAAAGAGACACAGATAAAAGTGACACCCTGTGGCCTCCACCCAACAGGGGCATGAGCTGCAGTTGCAGAGACAAAGCACGTAAAGCAGATGGGAAGGAGACACAGTGTGGCACAGGTGTGGGCCAGGTGTGGGCCAGATGTGGAACCACACAGACCTTGGCACTGCATGCCTGCTGGTGCAGGATGGCTTCTCAGAGGTACTTACCCTGTGGTGTAAGGGATGTTTATGCCGCCTAGATTGATGCTTTCACAGCCAACAATAAACAGGGTTGAGAAGCAGAGCAAAGACACCCCACTGCAGATCATTGCCAGTTTGGCGGACTCTCTTGCACCAAGCTTCAATTTTTTTATGATGTAGCCTCCCAGGACGATGCCAACACCAGCACTGGGGACAATGATGACACCTGGGAAGAGGAGGAAGAGGGCGTTAATGTGCACTGGTGTCCACTGTCATTTGTCTCCTCTAACTGTTCTGTTTGTGCATTAACACGAAGGTAAAGAATAAGGATTACTCTAATCCATAAATATTCAGTGTGTGACTTTACAGTACACTACTTTCAATGCACATTGACAAAGGATTCAAATCCAGAAGATACAAAAAATACTTTTACAATGTAATAATACAAAGACAAATAATTCATGAGAAAAGTGAACAAAATTTAAATTGACTCTTCATTAAAGAGAAAATCCGAATGTCCTAAGCAAATGAAAAGGTACCCCCTCATTACTTAGGAAGAAACACAGGTTACAACCACAGTGAAATTCCACCACATACCAGTCAGAAGGTAAACATTTTAAAGTTTGGTAATGCCACGTGTTGGTCAAGATAAAAGTGCTGGAAACTCTCAGCAGTGGAGGACCAGAAACAGCAGGACCAACTTTGAAAAGCAGTTTTCCATCACCTGGTAGAAATGAAGGTAAACATACCCTGCAACAGGCAGTCCCATCCCAGATTTATCCCCCAAAGAAACTCATGTACACCAACCATCTTAATAGACCCCAACTGAAAATAAACCAAATTCCCATAACAGATACACAAAGCACTGGTAGATAGCAACACAAAGGAAGACGTGCAACCAACCACACATAAAGGGGATGACTCTCACAAAGGTGACCCAAGAAAAAACCTGCAACAAAATGTGCACATGTTCACACCTGCATCAAGTTGAAGAACCAGGTGAATTCAACCGTAATGCTCTGGGATGCGCACACAGGTAGTATGAATATAAAGGAAAGGTAGTTACCATGAAAGCCAAGATAGCTGGGCAATGAGTGGTGCGGGATGAGGGGCTCCTGCAGCACTGGTAATGCTCTATTCCATAAAGTGGGTCATAGTCACCGCCACAGCCTGAACGCTTATGTCTTCCTGAATTCATGTTAAAATCCTACCTCCCCAAGTGTTGGCAGTAGAAGAGGGAAAACCTCATGAGTAGGATTAGTGCCCTAATTAAAAAGACCTGATCATCCCCTGTTCTCTCCATCATATAAGGGCATAGTGAAAATGCCCCATCTATGAGAAACAGACCTTCACCAGACAGCAAATCCGCCAATACCGGGATTTTGGTGCTTGCTGCTATAACTGTTAGAAACCAAACCCTCACGCTCATGAACCACTCCATGCATGGTAATATTGTTACATCAGCCTGAATAGACTAAGCCAGTCTTATACTTACTCCTTATCTCTATATTTTGACCACTGAACTACTGGATGTGTTATATTGCATTGCAGAAAAATAAAGACATGAGGTTGGAGAGACGGCTCAGTGGTTAAAAGCATGTACTCTTCTTGCAGAGGACCCAAGTTCAATCCCCAGCACTTACAATGGGCAGCCCACAACCACCTGTAACTCTAGCCCAGGGAGACCTGGCCCTTCGGACCTTTATTGGCATCTGTGTTCACATGTGTGAATGAACACAATTAAAAACTAGTAATAAAATAAATCTTTATTTTAAAAAATGAAGAATAAAGGCACAGGATAACCCCCCAAAAACTTTACAAACTAAACGAGAGACATACAGACTAATAGAAAATCTCAGTAAAACAGTTCTACAAGGTGCTAGGGAAACACAGGGAGGGGTGAGCTGAGTCTTCTCTGGGGGAGATCAGGGAGAACTCTCACAGCGGCAGTTTTCAGCTGCCATTCAATAGAATGTCTCCAATGGACGGACACAGAGAGACCATTCTGAAAAAGGAAATACACGTGAAGGCACGAGGTCATAGCTGTGGGTATTTATGGCGCTTCAAAATACCGAGAGTGTGCAATGCAAGATGGTGGGAGGTGATGGGGTGCAGGAAGAGAAGTTGGGAAAAAGGAGAGCATAAGAGCCCAGGGAAGAAACTTAGCTTATGTATCTGAGCAATGAGAGGCTGCTGGAGAATTCTGCGCGGGGTCAGATGAGAGTTACATGCTATGAAGGCCATTGCTGAAGTAAGATACAAGATAGCATTGATGGAGTGAGAACTTGAGTCTGCAGTGGTCAGATGGGTAATTGCAAGGGTCCAGGTGAGCCACAGGAAAGCACTGTACTCAGAGCACAATAAATTAACTAAGGAGACTGGGGAGAGCAAGAAAGCTAGTGTGTGGTATTCAGAGAACAGGGATACGAACAGAAGGACGATGTGTAGACAGCAGCTTAGCGATCTCTGCTGTAGACAGGAGTGTGAGGGGCACTGGGGCACACAGGGCACACTGGGGCACTCTGGGGCACTCTGGAGCACTCTGGGGCACTCTGGAGCACTCTGGGGCACTCTGGGGCACTGGGGCTGTGAGCAGAGCATGTTGAGAGATTTATGTTATAGTTGAACCTGAGAGGTGAGATGTTCTCAGATGATACCGTGAGAAAAGGAGGAAGCCGTCTGAAGAGAGCCAGTGTTAATGGGTTCTGACAAAGAGGTGAGCCTGTAAATGAAGCTGAAAACCAGACAGAGGTGAGAGGGAAGCCAGGGGAGAGCAGTGTTTTAAAGGGACTGGAAGTAACCAGGAAATCATGAACAAGAGGGTGTCCACATTGCATGTGAGAATGGTTCCCATGGACTTCTAAGTAGATGTGGTTCTGCACTATCTTGGGGCTAGTGGTCCAGTTTCTCCATCACCACCACACCACCATCTCGGTCTCTGTAATAGTTCCACTCCCTTTGTGAGGAGAAATACAAAAGTCGATCCTCCAGGCTGAAGTTACTGTGCTGCTATCACCTCTGTCTGAACTTAATATCTTCTTTCTTGGTATCCTCCTTCCCTTTCCTGAGACCCCAGGCCCCAAAGAGCCAACACCCTATCCCACAATGCCCCAGGGGTAGCCTCTGCCTGACACCAGCCCAGGACCCAAAGGCCTAAGTTCTGGAGGCGAAGACCCATGCAGTTGCTGGAGTCTGAGAATTCCAGATAAGACAAAACCCTGCCCTGCCCCGTGCAGGACATATGTCCTTGGATCCTGGGCTGGGAGCAAACAGCATTTTCCTTCTGCACCATCACCCCCCCCCCCCATTCGGTCACTTTTCACTCTCCTGCAAGCATGCTAGAGATGTTCTTTGGCACAGATTGATGCACCACACACACACACACACACACACACACACACACACACACACACACAACACACACACACACACACTATGGTGGGCATATACAGCACCTGGCACTAGTCCCAACATCACACTGCCCACTGCCTGTTGTGTTTGTTCCTGTCTTTCTGGCAGGTTCCTAAACACACACACACACACACACACACACACACACACACACACACACACACTCACATGTTTACATACACACTCAAATAGACACATTCATATGCACACTCTCACACACACTCATACACATTCACACACTCACGCTCATACATGCACACACACACACACACACACACACACACACACACACACACACACAGATGCTGACTACCTGTCAGGCATTAAGATAACTACCTTTTCTATAGTAATTAATTTTCCTCTAAACTTTTTATGGATTTCAATAGTCTAGAATCAGAGTAGGTCTCATAAAGAGAAGAAACTCTTGTTCAGGGCTCAGTTTGATTAGAAGTGGTTTTCTCTCTCAGTGGCTCCAATCCATGGGCATCTGTTGTTAGTTTGAATGAGAATGTCCCCCACAGTCTCGGGCATTTGAATACTTGGTCCCCAGTGGGTAGCACTGTTTGGGGAGGTTTAGGAGGTGTGGACTTGTTAAAGGATGTATGTCACTGGAAACGAGCTTTGAGAGTTTAAAGCCTCACACCATTCCCTCTGTGCTCTCTCTGCTTCATGCTCATGACTGAGATGTGAACTCTAAGCTCTCTGCACCTGCCTCCATGCCTCCAGCTTCTTGCCATGCTTCCACTTTGATATCACGGACTCTTACCCTTTGGAACCATAAGCCAAAACAAACTCTCTCTTCCTTAGGCTGCTTTGCCCATAGTGTTTTAACACAGCATCAGAAATAACTAATGCAGCATCCCTCTGTCCATGGGGTCGTAGATGGGGAGGGATAGAGTATTGTCTCCATAACCACACTTGGAATGGTACAGCAGACAAAACTAGCTTAACTTTACTTATAAAAAGCCTTTACTTAACTTTATAAAAAAAAAAAGCCTATGCTTCTAATTTAATAGTACAAAAATTATTTTTAAGGTCACCACCATCTCTTAAAAAGATTTTCTTTTAGAGAGTAAGCATCCATTCCCCTCAGAGGAGAACAACTACAGAGATTGTTTTCAAAATCCAAACCTCAATGCTGGCCAATATTAAATGGTCCAAGGATAGAAAACACAGGAAGTGCAAACTGTACATCAGTCTACAAGAACAACAGTGTAAGATACGCATAGCTCTTTTGTTTTTGAATGCCTCATCTTCCAGGAGCCCCTTCAAAGGCAAATAGCTGGGTGTGGCACTAGAATTAATTAATGGAATTCCTTCCCTTCAAATTATGTGATTGTTTTAAGACAAAGAATGAAATATTTCTTTCCACCTATCATATTCCATGACATAACTTCAAACGTCATTGGCTTCAGACTAAGAAGGTGTGTGTGTGTGTGTGTGTGTGTGTGTGTGTGTGTGTGTGTGTAACTGGCATGGTCCAAGGTTCCGGTATTGGAAGAGAGGCCTGTAGGTAGAGTGGGGCCACACAGGAACTTTTAGAGACTTCCCTGAGACTTTTCCTGGCAGAGCAGGAGCTTGGCACATGGCTGCTGCCAAGCAACTGACTCAGTTTCCCCTTCTAGAACTTTTAGCCCAAGAAGACAGTATTTGAAGGAATCCCCATGGGTCTCCACTTTCTGCTGTGAGACCGCTACTGCATAGCTCAGATGGGACCACTGAATCAAGGCAATAGAGAAGGCTCTGGAATTCTAGCATGACCTTGCTGAAATGATTAATAAAGGCTCTCAAAAGCTGAGCTCTATGCTGCCTTCT